GATGAAGAATGTGAAAGTTTGATTTAAAAGAAATTTTTTTTTAAAAACCCAAGCAGTTGATCAAGAGGAAAAACACTAAGACCCAGGTGCTTCACACACAGGTCCTATGGGACTCACAGGTTCAACCAGAGCATTTCCTCTGCCTCATCACCATTTCCCTTCCTCCCCAGAGTTAATTTAGAGGAAAACCCACAGGCTACTTTGACTCTTCCATCATTCACAAGAAAAAGTAGAGGGAGTTCAAATTCCAATTCAAACAGAATAAAATTCTCTACTGTGTGTTATTCTAAGAATCGGCATCTTTGAAAAAGATAATGGTTGTGGAGACATTATTTATACAACTGCAGCCAAATTGTCAAGCTTGCACCTAAACAAAGCAGGCCACAGATTTCTAACCTTGCTTTCACTTGTTCCAAATAACACACATTCAGAATGTGAGGCTGATCTGCCTGGGACATCTGTCACCCCACTGATCACCAGGGTTGATTCAGCTGATCTGGCTGGTTAGGTTGGGTGCCCCTTCCTTCCTCACAACTCCATGTACTTGGTCCTCTGATAGAGGAGGACTATTTTTTGGTCAAAGGTATATGAGTATCTGCAATCCCTGCTAGAACCTTCAAACAAGCCTCAAGGTCTAAATAAAGTAAATTCAATAAACTTTCCCCCATAAGAAACTCAGATAAGGGGTTGGTGTAGCTCAGTGCTACAACGCTTGCCCAGCCTGTGCCAGGCCTTAAATCCAATCCCCAGCACCACAAAAAAAAAAAAAGAAAAAAAGAAACACCTCATACACTGTGTGCAAAGTTCTACAGATATGAAGAAGGGTGACAAAGAGCCAGCAAAAGTAATGCAGTGAGCTAGAGCCTAAACACAGAAAAGATAACAAAGGCACAGTTAGAGATATGGTTCTGTATTACATTCATACTGTGAAAGAGTTAACCCACTTCTCAATGGGCCCAGCTAGTTCTTCCCAAGAACTACCTTGCTCACCTGAAGAATTTGGTCACTTATGAATAGTCTTACCACTGAAAACAGCATCTTACTCTTTCACAAGGTGAAGTTAAGTCTGTCCTATTACCAAAGGCCACATACATACTAGGAATGAGCACCCCTACTTTCCTAAACTGCTGTGTTTTATGTCAAATGCTTGATTTCCCTAAAATTTGAAAGGAAAGGTGAAAATACCCAGACCTATCCTGGTTCAGATTATCTATGAAATCTAACCAAACTCACACAGTACAGGGCTTGATCTTTCTCCTACAAGATCCATATTTGTGCCATGAGCCTCTGCCAGAATGACTGGTACTCAATGCAATTTGAGTCTGTCTGAGTTTTTAGCCATGGACATTTTTAGGTGGACCACTGTACAGAAAACACTAAAAGGTCTTTCTATTCTCAATTTCTTCACACTTGCCAAGAAAAACAAGGATGTTCATGTGGGCCAGTCAAAATGTGAGTCACACGGGGTTCCAGGGAGACACAACCCCAGGTCAGTCACAAACTGTGACCACATACCCATCTGGACCATTTGGTGTCCAAACCCACATTTCACAGATAGAAACTCTTCACTATGTACAGACTACTACACACATAACTGAGACCCTCCCTTCTTCCCTAAAACTGCCTAACAAGTATGCAAACTTAAAACTCCTGGCCTACTTTTTAATCTAAAACTCAGTTGTTTGGTGTTTTGGTTCCTTCAGAATGAAAAAAAAAAATACTAAAGTAAAAGAAACACTCACCACTTGGCTTTTTGAAATACTATCACCTATGCCAAACTAGCATCAATAGCTATTATATCTAAGATAAGGAATACAAAAACAAAATTAGTTTGTAGTTTGGGTTAATTCAGTTTAATTTTTTAAAGCTGATTTTCATTTAATAAAGCATTAATCTTTGTGGTATATGTGACAATAGCTAAAGCTTTTACTAGGAAGTAAGTTCTGAAAAGCACTGAAATAAATTTGAGAAACAAATAACCTAACACAATACAGCTGAGGGAACTGTGTTAAGTCCCACTCTGATTTTGGATAGTTTGATGATTACCTTTACTTGAACAGAAATGCTAGTCAGAGGACAAACACTTTGTTGTCTTTATTTCCAAACATCACCCAGCATCAAAATGTGATGCCAACCTTGGGGACAGGGTGTGGCTCAAGTGGTAGAGTGCTTGTCCAGTACAAACAAGGCCCTGGGTTCAGTCCCCAGCATTATGATATTGACCTAAATAGATATGAATCTCATACTTAAATCCACCTGTTTGGCCACAATTTAAAAATATAATAATAATTATTATAGTTCTTTGAAAACTCACAATTGGCTGCTCAGATTGATTTTTTTTTCCCTTAACATCAGAACTAATGACTTTCTAGGGAAATCTCTGGAAATAAAAAAATCATTATACAATAGTTCTTGCCCATGTTTTCACCTTGAAGTGACATTTCTTTAACACAGAAATCAAGATATAGACCTAAATATGAAAGGATAAGCATTCATTAACTCACACATTATTTTGAAAAGTTAATCTAAACCAGGTCTTCTGAGACAATAAGGTCTTTGAAAAGACAGAATGTCAAATGAGGTGTTCCTTCAGTTAAATTTGAATATTGTGCTGTTTAAGACAAATCTCCCTGTAAAAATAGGAGATGGAAAACTCAAAAAGTTAATTTTAATGTAACAAATTATTTACATGGTTAACTACAAAATGCAAATATTTCATGGATATGCAATACAGATTTTAAAAGAAGTCAGCAGCTAGTTAGTAGCAGGAAAAATGACCTTGTTCTGATTTATCCCATGCTGGTATAATGAGTAATGAAAAATCTACGTACACAGCTCCCTCAATGAACTTGTTCTGAAGAAATGTCGATGGTAGCCTTAAAATTAGGCACAATTGATCTGGATGATAGTGTGGCCTGGATTTCAAGTTAATGTTTGTCCATTACAGGCCAGCTGACCCTTATTTTTAAAGTAGCTATCTGAACAATGTAACTGTTCATCAAAAGGAATTTAACCAAAACCTGATTCCACCTTTCTCAATAACTCAAACATGTTTTACCTATTGTCCTTTAAAAATACCACAAGTACCCTCATTGACATGGACCAAGAAAGAGAAATAATGGTTCAAGTATATAAAATGACTGTTATTACTCAAACTGTGGATCAAATTTAGAGCTTTGGTATATTCAAGTCCCTAAGCTAGTTCTAGTTTCTTGGAAAGTGTAGATCTGAATTTGGCACATCAAGGTAATATCCTAAAGACACTTTTTGCTTGGCTGCTTGGGTTTTGGCAGCTCCATCTTCTGGTATTACAAGCTGCAGTCTGAATAGTCTTATCAGACAGGCTACCAAGAGCTCACATTAGCCCACAAGAATTCCACATCTCTTTCCCACTGGAAAACATAGTATATTTTACATACTTCCCATAGAACATAAACTGAAAAGTTTTGTTCACTGCTACTGCAGAACCATTAGTAATTTCTGTGTCTTAGTCCAAAACATAAACCAAAATTGAAATGTTTTGGTCCTTCTAGTAACGCACACGTTCTCTTTTTTAAAAGCCTGAGCTATTTCACATTTTCAGGAACTAAAAACAATACAGACCTAGGTGTTCTGTAAACAACAGCAAACCAAAACACCACTGTTCTTCCTAGCTCTGAAATCTGTCATCTAGCCAGAAAGATAGAGATCCCACCTACAAAGGGCTCCCCATCCTACACTTCCTCAGCTGGGTTTACTAGATGTAATGTCTTTCTTTCCCCATCTCCTGGAAATGCCCTTTGGACACAAGCCTGGGATGCAGCTTTAATTCACAATGCAATACACTCTCATTTCCTCCAAACCTGGCAACAAGAATATCCTCACTGCTGAGGACCTGTGGTGAAAGAAAAGGGGAAACTTACTCAGGAGTCTCGCCAGATTTTTTTCCCGCTGCTCTAAAAGAAAAAGCCTTGAAGCACTGATAAGCCAGTGTTTAAATCAGAGCCCCGATCACTTTTTTCCCCAGAAAGTCAATCACACTCAGTTAGTGGCCTGTACACACAAACTCCAAACAGGAAAAAGAACAGTTTTGAAACAGGAAATACACATCAGAATTATATTCTTCAAGTTCTTGAAACAATTTTTTCCCTTTCAAATAGGCAATTATTTTCTCCACATATGAAACTTAAAGACTTTCAAATCAAATTCTCTTTCCATTGCTCTCCCCAGTCCTTATTGAAAGCAAGGTTTGTTTTGGTCCCACATATTCACGCCTCTATAATTAAGAGGTTGTATACCACGCCTTCCACTAGTACATTCCCTGTTAAAACTCCCTTCCCTAGAAATGATGCCTCCTGCTCTTCTCAAGCAACCCCAGTAACTGAAGTTGTCAGCAGTCATCCTACTCGACCCCCACCACCCCAACACAAAGGTGCCAACCCAAGGGTCTGGGTTGGGATGTAAGAGCGGTTCACGGCCGAGTTTTACAAGTGTGCCCCCAAGAGACCAGTTTTCCAACAAGTTCACATGAATACACCCAACTGAATGCTTCACATCCTGGCCGGACCACATAAAAAGGTATTTCACGTTAAGAAACAAGAACAACACTGATATTCTTTCACTTAAACAATATATAACAGACCAGAGCGGAACTGAAAGAAATACAAAACTTTCTCTCTCAGAGCTTAAGTCGATGATTCACAAAATTTTGTGGCACTTTTCAATCTCCCCACTTCCCACCCCACCACGTAGGCTTCTCGGACAAGACTTCTCTGGTATTGTTGGGGTTGGAGGGCGGGGGGACGGCACAGACGAGAGCTTTTTGTCCAATTCGCACGTAAGGTAGTTCGGAACCCCCGTATCCCGCCCCACTTCCACCCCCAAAAGTGCCGGTTCCCCTGGGGAACCCGGAGTGAGCTGGGAAAGGAAATCGACTCGGGGAAGAGGAGGAGCAGCAACCAGGCAGAGCTGCAGCTCGCACTGTGCCGCTCCCGTCGGCGAGCGGGGCCGGACTCCTTTACCTGGGGTGGAAGGCCGCGGGCACTAGTTCCCAAAGTTCTGCTTCACCTTCCGACTTCAAAGCCCTGGCGACAGGGCCGCCGCCAGCACGCTCAGCGAAAATCCCGTCCCGTCCGGTCCAGTCCCCGCCCCGCCCCGCCCCGGCCGCCCTACACCAAGTCAAGAATCCCGGCGACACCGCGCTGGGAGCTGACATCACCCCGGCCCCAGGTACCTCCTCCTCCTCCCACCGCGCCTCGTCCCGCCCCCCCGCAGGAACTAGCCAAAGAGGGCTGGCGGGAGCGGGGCCGGAGGCGCCTGTGCCCCGCTGATTGGGCCCGCGCAAAGTCACTCAGCAAAGCCAACTAATTTTATACATTTTTCGCTTGACGAGACTGGACTGGAAGTGGGTGCTTGTGGGGTAGGGGGGATGCTGTCTTTCAAGCTGTCTATGAGGAAAGCAGATAATGGGATGGGCCAGAACCTGAAGGGTCGACTTGTAACCTTTTCTTGGCGTATTTTATATCCCGCGTCAGAAGCGAAACTAACGCATTAAAGCCCCCTTTTAGGCAAAACAATCGCCTGGGTGTCACGGGCAAGTATGAGCCCCGCGACGCGTGTGCAGAAAATGGCTAGCTTAAAGACATGGAAATAAAGGAAAACGCCAGCCCTCGCGCCCTCCTGCCTTTCATCCTGGGACTGCTGGGCGTGCTCCCTCAGAGCTGGGTTCCCAACTTCAAATGTACTTGGAGAGACTGGGAAGGGAATTCTAGACCAGGAGAGCCAGCTCTGAATTGTTAACTGGCGGTTTTAGCAGCCATGTGGTTGCTTTTGCTTTTAGCAGTGAAAAATCACACCACATAAACTTCCCAGGCAAATAAAATGGAATCTCCAAAGTGGGGGGGGGGGAGGGAATTATGTTTTTAAGGCCTTAAGATTGCTGTTTTAGTGCACAACTGAAAAGGGGGAAAGAGGGAGAACCCTCACAACTGAGTTCAACAAACCACATGAGAATAATTTCTGTTGAATGTAACCAATTGCAGTGGCTGAGCTACCAATTTAAGAATTAACTAACATTTACCCTTGACAGATAACCACGTATAATCCCCTTGGCTGAGAAAACAGAGTCTCAGGAGACGCTCTTTCAATTTACCCCATATCTGACCCATGGCAGAAATGAATGGTGAAAAGTACCTTTATGTATATGGGATGTAGGCAGCGAATTCTCTATCCATTATTTTCTGGAAGTACAATGAATTAATCATTCATTTTCTGTTGGTTTTTATTTTGATGACATGTTAAAAATTGAAGAGGGATGCAGAGTCCAGCATTGGTCCCATTTAATTCTCTCAACACTCAATTTAACATTGACCGTTAAATTGATTTTAACAAGTAGGCTCAGCAAGGCTATGTGAGTAAATAACTCCAGATCACTCAAGATGGATTGAAACCAAGGTCTATTGAGTCTAAGATTTTTTTTCTCTCTAAAGTATTGAGTGTCCATAAACCACAGGCTTTCAAATACTATATTGCTAAAACAAAAACAAAAAACCACCCACAGGCTGGGGCCACTCCTCTCACAGATACTTTATAGTATTACTATTGTATTACTTGTCTTGACCTTCAGTATTCTAAACTCACTTGTATTCCTTGACTCAGTTCAGCACTTCCAGATGAGTCCTCTATAATAATATTTTTGTCATTAACATCTTCCCCTCTAGATCAGGTCCCCCTTTCCCTTCAGTTCTCAGCTAACCTCTTAAAACTCTCCCTAATCTGGCTTCCCACTTTATCTCTTACTGGCACTTGGGAATGCCTCTGCTGTAGTCAAACTGGTCTACTCACAGATCCCAGCTTGGTTCTCACCTTTTGGTGTAATTGGAATCCCCATCTTCTCAACACATAATTGAAGTCTTTGTCCTCTGCCAAGACTTATCTGCGCACTATAGTGAACGAAAGAAGGGAGTGGGGTCCTTTGCCCAGTTCTACTGCTCATTTGCTGGGTGACGCCAGACAAGTCCTGAAACATCCATCTGAAACTTCAGTTATCTCCTCTCTAAAATGAGCAGACAAAACTCAAAGGTTGCTACAGGATCATTGAGATTGTATAGATGTGTAAACCTGAGGTTCTATATGTCCAGTTAAGTACATTTCCTGCCTTCCTATTAAATACATCTCTTATTTTCTGAAAAGCAAGCCCCGTGCTTAATTCCTCTTTTTGTTCCTTACACCCAATTCAAGGAAAAGGTTCAATATAAATATACAGAGCTTCTTTCTTCCTTCTATCCCTTAAATGAACTTACAATCTCTAGCCAAAAATATCAACTATCTCTTCTTGCTATCTCTCTCTCTCCCCACCCCCTTCTGCTCTCCTCTCCCTCCCTGCGCCCAACCCTTAGGCTAGAGCCCTTCCCTTCCCTACTTATTCACCCACCATCATTCAACAAACTTTAACTCCCTCAGGTATCTTCTGGAACCACCACCCAATCTCTCACTTTGCCACTCATCCTTCCTTTCTCATCCAGGCACATACTCATCTGTCAGTGCCTGTTGCCTGCCTTGCTCCTCAAATGCCTTTCACACAGTGGCTGGATAGCTACCAGCCACTCCTCCAGCCCTAGAAATAGGATGGCTGCTTTCAGACTCACTTTCTTCTGAAACTACAGCCAGCCTGCAAGAGATGGGGGAGGGAATGCCCGCCCCCACCCCCATAGGGATGGCGGGATAGAATAACAGGAAGTTGCCGCCCATCCCCTCAGCAGCTGGAATGATAACAGCTGCCATCAGAGTCCAGAAAACAAAAGATTCAAGAGAAAAGCTGAACACAGATGAGGTCTGAAGCAGTAGTGTTCAAACCAGGACTTACACAGAGTGGGTGGGGAAATCACCAATGGGAGAGATTTCAGCCTCCTTCCCTCCTCTTACAGGTCTTAACTGTTCTACATGTAGACTTCACTGTAATAAATTTCTAAAGGAGAGTCGAACACTTAAATAAACACATTGACAAAACCACTGGCCTCCAGGTGTGTTGGGGAAACTCCAAAGAATCAGGACACTGTGGCAGAAGCAAAACAGGATGGCTGATGGGCAGGAATCCAGAGCTCACCCACTACCCTGGACCCTAGCTGGCTTAATGGAAATGCTGCCTATGGGTCCCACACTAGCTCTGTAGGTCTAGATAACTATTTTCTGCCTAGTTTTTGCAACGATATGCCTTACTTTCAGTACCTATAAACCACCAGATATGATCACTACTGGGGTGTTGGGGGAAAGCATGGTGAAAGCAGAAGAAAACTTGCAAAGAATAAGAAAAGTAGAACTCCATAGGAACCCTAAAAGTTGCCTGATGCCAACTACCTGTTGGCTGCAAAAACCTCTTCTATAGGATTCCCAACAGGAGCCTGTCTGTAGCCCATGCTTGAATTTACCTGGCAAGAAGTACACAGCTAGGAAAGCAGCCACCATAGAAGATCTTTCTCCAATCCATCCATATCCTGCTTTTCTGACTTTCCCCGCCAAAGGCCTTGTGTCTCATTTAATCCTCTCATCAGATGTGAATAATTTTTGCCAGTTCTTACTAAAATCCACCTCCCAGGGCTTTGCAAAGATCTAATGAGATGTCATAGGCAATGGCCTGACACATAGTAGGTCATGAGCAAGCATATTTTCCTTTTTCTCATAACACTCAGTAATTGAACTATTATTTTTGTAGGAGGCTTATATCCTTCACTGATTGTAACTTCTCTATAGTTCTTAAGGACAAAATGTTAAATTTTTTCATTACATATTTTATGGATTCTAAAACCACGTTTTGTTCTATAGACAGTCAATAAAAATTCACTGAATAAGTGGATGCTGTCTTTTGCTTTATACTCCAAATCTACTATGGGCTAGGCCTTTCGAAGTTCAACAATAATTTGACCAGACTGATCACAAAGGATTTTTGAGCCTCCAGTTGTTCTCATTCCAACTGCATTGCAAACACAGAGTGGGTTAAACACATGATATAAATCGAGAACCAAATCCAAATGAAACAAGCTTGGTTTTAGAATTCCTTCTAAAGGAAATTCTATCTGATTGTAAGCACAGCATTAGTGATGAACCAGACACCGTTTTCATATCTTTTCTCTGAATACTAAGCCACTATTCAGCTATCACCAATAACATCATTTATGAATTTATGAATTCAGAAATACAGCACCATGTTCCAAGGGGGGAGTCTTATTTTAATCATTCTTTCCTTATAGCTAAAGGTTATTCTCTAGTTACCCGCAGATAAATCCAAAAACCTAGTTACATTCACTTTACCCGTTTTATTCATCCATTAGTTGAGAAATCTTTTTAACTAAAAATAGCAATGATTGCTTTCTGTGGTTTTTGATTAACGTTCAGTTAATGACTAAATTAAACAAATTGAATTTCCTTAAACAACTAATCCCATTACAAGTTTAGTTAATTAAATTTTCTAAAAAGTATGTTAGGTACCTGTATGCAGTGGCATGCACCTGTAGTCTCAGCTATACAAAAGGCTGTAGCAGGCCGATTGCTTGAGCCCAGGGGTTCAAGGCCTGCCAGGACAACATAACAAGACTCTCTCTCTGAAAAAAAAAAGTTAGATCCTATATTCTGAGATGGGCTACCAAGCCAGAGTGCCACCTTTTCAATACAAAGAAGCAGGGTGGAGATGTGGCTCAGTGGTAGAGTACTTGCCTAGCATGCTTGAGGCCCTGGGTTCAATTCCCAGCACCACACACACACAATCTTGAAATCTGTGTGCTTAGGTCAATAGAAAGGAGCAATTTCTACTTTCCATTCTGTGCATATCATCTGCATAGCAGTCATCCCAAGCACGTTAAACTTTTCCCCAAACTTTTAGGTTTTGCCAGGGGTTATAAGTCACTGCCATCCTTCCTCCAAACAGGAACTGCGCAAAGCCTCTTTAGAGGTCTCAGGAACATTTTCAACCAGCAACAAAACATTACTCATATCCAGTAACTTTCCCCTTTGATTTATCACCTGTGACAATAGTAAGTAAGGCTCATGTTGCAAATAATATCTCATGGTTCACTACTAATCAAAATTTATCCATTTGACACTGTGGTGCACCCATTCCCTGGACCAGTGTCATATATGATTCCCAAGCCT